AAAAAAAAAAAAAAAAAAAAAAAAGAATATAATGGCTATTTAGTGACTGGCTTTTTTTTTCCCCCCAACAGAACAAAGTTTGGAAACCAGGGGAAGTTAAAGTGAAACGAATCTCTCTTCTGTCTTATTCCTTACTGAGCTTATGTATCAAGTTATTTAGATATTTTAGGCAACAATTCTTCCAATATAGTTAGATCCACTGTGCTACACTGAGGTCATTCTCTGAGGAGTCACACATCTGTATAAATAATAGTTGGCCTTTTCTTTGCCAGTCTTATTGCAAGGGTAATTGGGATTCATTTTTTTCCAAAGACAGCTGCATTGTCCCTTCATAACTTCCTTTGCTTTAAGGTGTGAGTCATGGCCCAGAGTATTATGTGATACAGGTCTGTAACCTGCTATGAATTTACTGGTGAAAATGAATGACTGTTCCCACATCTGAGCTGTCTCACTCTTTAGTAGTGTCTTGGACATTTCTGTTTATGAGTGTGAGTGAGTGGAATCTTTCAGTTGACTGAAGGTTTCTTTACCAGGAGTTTGGCCTTGTATGTGTTAAGGATTTTATAATTCAAACTCAAGTCATTTCACTTTTAATCAATTAACAAAACTAGATTGCAAATCCTGTTTAGTTGAATGGGCATTTAAATCACTTTAAGGGCTTCCTTTATCCGTTCCCTATACCCCTAAAAAAAGTTACTGTGCTTATGCTAAGAATCTCCTTAGTTTCTCACAAGCAAATAGATTTTACCACAGTTCTCCTGTGATCTTCCGTTACTGTTGTTATCAGTATGACACCTAGTTAAGAGTATGATGTAGCTAAATTTTTACTTTAAAAAACTGAAGGCATTCTAGGATCCAAGAGCCAACTCAGTTTAATTTATTATTAAGATGTGATTGATGAAAATTAACATTTTTGATTGTTAGACTTTCTGAAAAAAGTGGACTGTTTCTACTGTTGTTAGTAGAATATATTGGTAGTTAGATATATAAAAATGTTTAACCTGTAAAAACTCAATAAAAATGTTGAGTTTATATTCAGAGACCCAATTATCTGTTTTTTAAACTGTGGATTGAAACTTGTTAAAAATAGACAGATTTCTGTTTATTCTGGTTCATTTTGGTTTATTCCAATCACTGAACAAATATTGATCACGTGCCTTCTATGTACCAAGTCTTCTAGGTGAAGATCCCTACCCCTGTGGTCCTACATTCTACTAACAGGATATAGCAGTAAGGGACAAACATGATAAATGATATAGTATGTCAGAATATGATAAATGCTATGGGAAATAGAAAAAAGTAGAACAGAGTAAGTGGGATAGAGAGTGCTAGGGTCAGGGTGGGGTGGAGGGGGACAGGTTACAATATGAAATAGATTGGTCATGGTAAGGCCTATTGAGAGGGTAACATTTGAACAAAAGACAACATTGATGAGGGAGTCAGCCACATGGTATCCAGGGAAGGAGTGTTCAAGAAGAAGAAAACCAGAGCAAATGCCCTAAGATAGCCGTAGCCCTGGTATGCTTGAGGAATTCAAAGAAGCTAGAGTGGCTGGAGCAGAGTGATTCTGAGGGGAATGTAGTAAGAAATGATCAAATCAAGTGGAGCTATGTAGACCACTGGTGAGATGGGGAACCATGGGAAGGATTTGAGCTGGAAAGGTGACATGATCCAGCTTTTGTTTTAAAGCATCACTTTGGCTGCTGTGTTGAGAATAGACTACCCAGGGCAATCAGTGTTGGCAATAGACTTGGAGGGGAGAGTGGGAAAACATTTGCAGTAATTCTAGCAAGAGACAGAGGTTGGGGAAGTAGTTGGTATGCTGAGAAGTGGTCAGATTCTGGGTGTGTTTTAAAGGTAGAGAAAACGGTATTTCCTGAAATATTTGATGTGCGGTTTGGAAGAAAGGGAGATTTTTGGTCTGATCAAATGGAAGTGTGGAATTGCCTTCAAATAAGATGGGGAACCCTGTAGATGGAACAGATTGGATGGGGAAGATTGGGAGTTTGGTTTTGTATGTTTGGTTTGAGTTTTGACTTCCTAATAGAAATATAGAGTAAGCAATTGGGTATATGCATGAGTCTTGAATTCAAGTGAGTGTTCTAAGCTAACACTTATATAACATTATATGCATATAGTAAATTATTTTATAGTAAGTATAAAATATGTAACATATTTACTCTTTAAATTTTCTACTCCTGAAATAGTGAAAATTACTGATTGAATTTCTTTTTTACTAGAAGCTCAGTTTCCTGATTTAAATATTTTTAAATTAGCAGGTCACTTAAATTGTTTTAAGTATTGAATGCCAGGTTGATTAATAAGTTTACAAAGTGCTATTTATAAAGCCTATAAAATAAAAATGATCATTTGCTGATAAACACATGCCAAAAATATACAATTTTTGAAATGAAAAGATCATTGAAGACTATTTTGTACAAATGCTTAATCTTCTTTCATTACATAACTTAATAAGAAATGGGTTTTTTTGTGAGTCAATCCTAATCAAATTCAGAAAATGGGATGAAAATGAGGGGTTCTTGAATGTAGACTTTTGGGGCTTAATATACTATAAGTAGCTCAAATCTTGCAGGTTTTTTTTTTTTTTTGTCTATTTCAAGAGAGATTTGATATTATTACCTAGGAAATTGAATTGATCACTTGTTTCTTGGATATTATATTTTATGTGACATGTATCTATCTAATGAATAAGTAATGACCTTAAAATTAGTGCTACTATGAAGAAAATGGTTGTTATGTCCATCCATTGACATAACAGTGAATTTACTGTTCACTGTTCAATATTTTATTGAATATTGTTCAATATTTTATTGAAAAAGGCTGTTTCATTTGTTTCACTCTGTTTAGAAAAGGAAGACCAGTGTTTCATGCCTGAAGCTTGGAATGTGGACCAGGGAGTAATTACCAAGCTCAAGGAACAATACAAAAAGGAGAGAAAGGGGAAAAAGGGGGTGAAGAGTAAGTGGAAAACATTGTATCTGTAAATCATAAATCTTACCTCTTTCATATCCCCCAATTTTTTTCTCCAGTGTTTTCCTGAAACTACTTCTACTCTTTTTCTTTTCTGCTCCTGACCTCTTTCCTTTTCACTTGTTCTCAGGGGTTGAAATTAAATGGTTAGCTGTTTGATTATGAACTTTAAAAAAAAAAAGGCTGTGTGTATAATTATGGAATTATAATATATTCCAGTAATAAATCCAGAGTGTCATGAGTATGTGGAACTATGTTTTCAAACATATTGATCATTTGATTTTTAAAATTAGATGTGCTTAATTACAGTAATGATTTTTCACTGTTGACAATTTTAAATCTCGTCGAGTGTGACTGACCCTCTGGCAAGCCACCAAAATTATTACTTATAATTTTAAGTCTTGGAGACAGAAAGAAAGTTAATTTCTACCCCTGAATATTCTATGTGTTCATAACACACAGTTCATTTGCTCTCATCACTATATTCTATACAGGGCACAGAGTCAGATACACAACTTTTTTTAAGTATTTATTTTTCTAATTTAAATTTTTGGCCAATTTCATTTGTAATATTACCAATTAGGTTTTTTTTTTTTCAACAAAATGAGTGCCACATCAAAAATGGAAGTTAAAATGAAATTTCTAGCCCTATGAATCATATCTATATAACTTATTCAAATTATTAATAAAGTTTAACAATAGATCTAGTTAAGTATTTAAAATAGAAATACAAAAGCTTTCAAACATCCCTGAAAACCATCTTAAACACCTTTTTAGGAGAGCAGGGCTGAACTATCTATCTCCTTGTGTTACCACTGTTATTGACAGTATGGATATGGGTCTCCCTTTTATGGCAATAGGAATTTCATCCTTTGGGATATTAAAGTAGTGTAAAGTAGGATTAAAATCCAACTTGAGTGAGGCATGTGTTTAAAATTGCAGAAGGCTGGAAGGATATGCCTTTTCTTTTTCTCTTTTTATAGTGATGCTAGGGATTATCAAAGACCAGTCATTCTTTTACAATCTAGTAGTTACTGATAAATACGTAAATCGTTATTTAAAATATCTTAGAATTTACAAGTATTTAGCTTTAATGGATAAAAAGTCAGTGGCCATTATTGACGTTAGTACTGTACCAACCATTATGTAACTGAGAGAGAATGACATTTGATGCCTTCTCAATGTAAATTAAATCCCAGTGAGGAAGGTTTAATATTAAAACATAAGAACGTTTTATACTTTTTATTAAAAAATAAATGTAAATTGATACAGCCACTATGGAGAACAGTATGGAGGTTCCTTAAAAAACTAAAAATAGAACTACCATACAACCCAGCAATCCCACTACTGGGCATATACCCTGAGAAAACCATAATTCGAAATGAGTCATGTACCACAATGTTCATTGCAGCTCCATGTATATTAGCCAGGACATGGAAGCAACCTAAGTGTCCATCGACAGATGAATGGATAAAGAAGATATGACACATATATACAATGGAATATTACTCAGCCATAAAAATGAATGAAATTGAGTTATTTGTAGTGAGGTGGGTGGACCTAGAGTCTGTCATACAGAGTGAAGTAAGTCAGAAAGAGAAAAACAAATACCGTATGCTAACACATATATATGGAATCGAAAAAAAAAAAAGGTCATGAAGAACCTAGGGGCAAGACGGGAATAAGATGCAGACCTACTAGAGGATGGACTTGAGGACACGGGGAGGGGGAAGGGTAAGCTAGGACAAAGTGAGAGAGTGGTAGTGTATATATGGACATATATACACTACCAAATGTAAAATAGATAGCTAGTGGAAAGCAGTCACATAGCACAGGGAGATCAGCTCGGTGCTTTGTGACCAGCTAGAAGGGAGGGTGGGAGGGAGGGAGATGCAAGAGGGGAGAGATATGGGGACATATGCATATGTATAACTGATTCACTTTGTTATAAAGCAGAAACTAACACACCATTGTAAAGCAATTATACTCCAATAAAAATGTTATTAAAAAAAAGGACAAAATAAGCATTCTCAGAAGAACAAAAAAAATACTGATAAAAATTTAATCTTAAACAATAGTGAGACATGGTTTGTTATGGCTTTTCAGAGCCATGATAAAAGTAGTTAAACTGAAATTTTAAGGAATATTTGTCTGTCATACACAAGAAACAAGGAGAATATTTTAATTGTCAGATTGACTTAAAGCTGATATATTTAAGCCATTATGCTACAATAATGAATGTCTTAAAATGTAAAAGATCTTTGAGTTGGAAAAGTATCCAGGACTTATGTAGAATCCATCTACTATTATATTTATTATTAGGTTCTTGTCAAATATCAAGGCATCACTGTAGTTGGAATTTAGCATTTAAGGTCTAAAACTGCACCATTTGACTGGAACAGTATTCCTGCTAATAGAAGCTATTGGGTTTCCTGGACCTGGGGATTTTGATCACTATTCAGGCATATGGCACGTAGCTTTTTAGTATGATGAAGAAAAATGATTCTTTAGGAGGAGAAATTTTAATGTCTTTCACTGAAGAGAGAGGGACTGTAGACTGATGTTCAGCACATTTTGTTTATCATCATCAGTTGAGGTTATCTTGATAAAATGATAGTCTGGGAACGAGTGAAGACAAGATGAAAATAGAACAGGAAGACTTAAAATGAAAATAGAACTGAAGGAAAGCTTTGAATTGATATATGGAGCATTAATTTATAAACCACCATGGGTATTTTTAAAATTGAACTGTTACTCATTGGAAGAAGTTGAGTCTTTTTAGTATGGTCTAGTAGAAATATTTCCAGTCAAATTGTGTTCTTCAATCATACTATCTTAGAATATATTTCTAGGTAGTAGTTAAAATTGCTTAAAAATAGTTGTATTATTTGCTGGTATAGGAAAAAAACCATAATGGACTATGGGTAAGATTTTCCCATTCTTAATTAAACTTATAACAGGAAAAACTACTGAAGATCTGTTTCAGCCTCTATCCTATATAAAACAATCAAAACAGGGATGTGGGAGAATGCAGCATCAAAGTACAGGTAAGTAATTGGCAGGGCGTGATACTTCACCTTGCATACCATAGCTTCAGGATGTAAGGCAATGAATGCAACTTAATATAAACAAACAAAAAAGAATGTGATTGTTTAATTCAATGTATGCAGTAGCTTCACAGTCTGTGGTATCTGTCTGCGTTTAGAGCAGTATACAAGGATTATAGAATAATGATTTTTAATGGTCCAAATTGAACATGAGCATTTTTTCATGCAAGTAGTGATGTTATTCCATTAGCTTAATCTAAAAAATATATGTAAAACACAATTTTTTTCAAGAAATAATAAACTTTTAAAATAATTTGAAAACTTAGAAAATAATTACTTTTTAATATAATATAGTAGGGTAGTTTTAAAGGTGAATGTTGGCAGATGTAAGGTTTATGACTCCATTTTGATGCAGTTGGATAATTCTATTTCCTCTTTTTTGTTCTCTCCCTCCCTTTTTGGGGGCTAGGGCCCAATAGGTCAAAACTGCAAGATATGCTTGCTAATTTGAGAGATGTTGATGAACTTCCCTCATTGCAGCCATCTGTGGGTTCACCTTCCAGACCCAGCAGCTCCAGGCTTCCTGAACATGAAATAAATAGGGCAGATGAAGGCAAGTATTTTAGACACTAGAGCACAAAAAGCACTTGGATGTACTTATGTAAATTATTAGAAAGGGCTCTCTAAGAGAAGAATTTTATTCTACAGATGTTTGAACTACGTAGTACTCCCCATATGTAGGCTTTCTTGTATTCAAGGGGGTTTGATTCCAACTGTAATCTCTAAGATTTGAAAAAGGATGCATAAACTTAAAAATCAACTCTAAATTATAGTTTAGAACATCCCCTAGCTCCACAGAAGCCATATATTTGGTGTGTACACAGGTAGTTCTCATTATACCATTCCAACAATGAGAAAATTACTTTAAATTATTATTACTATAAATAGTAAATGTTTACTTTGAGACTCACATAAGTATTTTTAAATATTTAAGCAAATGGGCTTCCCTGGTGGCGCAGTGGTTGAGAGTCCGCCTGCCGATGCAGGGGACGCGGGTTCGTGCCCCGGTCCGGGAGGATCCCACGTGCCGTGGAGCGGATGGGCCCGTGAGCCATGGCAGCTGAGCCTGCGCGTCCGCTCCGCAACGGGAGGGGCCACAGCAGTGAGGGGCCCGCGTACCGCAAAAAAAAAAAAAAAACATAAAATATTTAAGCAATTTATCATTCACAAATGAAAAAGGGAAAAAAGACACCTGAAGGTCTAGTCACATTTTGTACTTTCTGTTTTTCCTTGTTCTCTTTCAGTCCTTGTCTATGTGCATATACTTTTTGCAGAGTTATAGTCACCATGTAGAATAATTGAATTTTATTTATTTATATGAAATCATAAAAATAATCTTCATAATCGTAACTTTAAGATTATTCTATTTTAGACTTTATTCTTAACCATTCCCCCCTTTTTAAATATATATATATGTGTGTGTGTGTGTGTATGTGTGTGTGTATATATATATATGTGTGTGTATATATATATATAATTTACTTATTTATTTTTGGCTGCATTGGGTCTTCGTTGCTGTGCACAGGCTTTCTCTAGTTCTGGCGAGTGGGGGCTACTCTTCACTGTGGTGTGCAGGCTTCTCATTGCAGTGGCTTCTCTTGTTGTGGAGCACGGGCTCTAGGCACACGGGCTCAGCAGTTGCAGCCCGTGGGCTCATCATTTGTGGCTCACGGGCTCCAGAGCGCAGGCTCGGTAGTTGTGGCGCACGGGCTTAGTTGCTCCACGGCATGTGGGATCCTACCGGACCAGGGCTCAAACCCATGTCCCATGCATTAGCAAGTGGATTCTTAACCACTGCGGCCACCAGGGAAGTCCGTCCCTTTTGGATATTTAGGTTGTTCCCAGTTTTTTACAGTACAGTCTTATGGTATATAAATACAGTTTTCTGTCTTTTAAGTTCTGATATGTCTATTTATAAATGTATATGTGTAAATTGATTTTAAAATATATATATTTACATTAGCTGAAAGTCCAGAATGACATAAAAGTAATATTAATGATTAATGAATATATTTCAAATTTTATTTTTTAAAATTTCGTTGAATTTAAGTATTGTAATTATTTGCAGTGGATATGCCTCTTCACATTATTATTTAATGAACAAAACAACCTGGGAAAAAGCCACAGAAAAATCATATGTTTTATTCTTTCTTGGCTTTAAATTCAGCTATGTTTTAGAGAGACATAAACTGACGGGACCTTGATGAATAGAGTTTCATGTTCGGAATACTTTTTCAGTGAACTGTTTGACCATTACATGGTTAGTTATTTGTTAGAGTTAATTACAGTATACTGGGAATTCATTTTCCATACGTTAAATAATGAAAAACCACGTTACGCCTTTATATTCTAGGTGAACAATTTATTTGATGTAGACATGTGTCTTTTGAATTAAGATGTGAAGTCATAGGCCTCAATAGATATGTTTGCTGTTCACTAGGATATTCATTCAGTTGACACTTATAGATGTGAGAATTTTAATCAATTTCATTTATTCTAAGGTCAGGTCTAGATAAGAAGAAAAGTTAGTTTTTCTCTTATTCTAATAACTCCAAAAGAGTTTTATCAGAGATTTCATCTTGCAGAATTCTAATAATAGAGGCAGAATATGTACTAAATGACACATGTACAAAAAAGGATGATATAAAGCAAAGGAAGTGCCCTTGATAGGAAAAATAAATGTTAAGAATCTTAGAACTGAAGCATTGAATATCTAACTTACGATCTGTAAGATTGGTCCTAAGTCTTCCCCCTCAGTGCAGGATTTTCAGAAATAGAAAAGGCACTTAAGAAATATGTTGTAGATTTCATTGCCTGTGACTGATGCTTCTTGGTCTCCAGTCCAGTTTCAGAAAAAGTTTCCATAGCTTGTGTGTGCTGTATAAGTTTATTACTTTATTTTTATCATAATGATTCAGAAGGCAGTGCCACACTTAAGAGGCATAGTTAAATTATTTTGTAAAAGCTGATTAGAGCCAGTAATGTTTAGTTACCAGATAGAAATGTGACCTATATTTGAAAGTTCTAAGATCTCTTAGAGATCAATTGATGACAGTTATGCCCATTGGTGCTCTCTCTCTTTGGGCCTCAGGTCTGCTGGCTTAGCCACTGGTGTGTGTAGAAGCAGTTGTTGCCTTCCTTTGTTTTCAGGTTTTACTTGGCCATTCCTAGAACATTAGTTAAATTTGCCCACACAATGTGTATGGCCAAATCCCATAAATCTTAGTTTCTTTTTTGGGGGGAAGAGCCATTTTTATTTTGCACCTGAACAAAGTTATCTGGCAATATTAGACATGAAAGCGAAATAAACAAAAAAATCACCTGGCTGAAGACCTAGCCTCATAGTCTCACATGAATCATTTGGTTGAAATTTTGGCATAAAAATTGCTGTTCTAAATTAAATAATTCCCACTCTTTATTAGTAAATGTTTAGAGTTGTTTGAACCTGTCATAGGATATATGGTATGTTTGGGTAAAACCCATTTTTATTATTGCAGCTTTATCGCATGGTGATTTGAAAATGTCGTATTAATTTATACTCTACTTTGTTCTTATAAGGATTTTGAGTAGAGTTCCTGCCACTACTATTTTTAAAAGCACGTAACTGTTCTTTCATTTCTTCAACAAGTATTTATGATTGAATCTAAAATTATATGATTGAATGTAAAACTGAAAAATACCTTGTAAATCTATTTTCTGCATATACTGATTAATAAAATTGTTTCTTTCAAAAAAAAAGTTACTTTACTTCTTTAGCAGCCAGAGTTTAAACTACTAAATTCATCTAATCAACTCATAAATGTTTGTCATCAGTAAAGTAACCACCTCTAGAAAACTATTTAGAGAACTACCTCTGATGGCTTGTCAGAGTAATTTGCATTTATAAAAAGTGTTCAAATGGACACTTTTAAAAAACTTGTTTGAATTAAATCTTTTTAAATGAAATATAACATACCTACAGTAAACTGCTGAAGTCCTGAGGGTGCAGCTCAGTGAATGATCTCAAAGGGAAATCAACCATGTCACCACTGCCTAGGTAAAGAAGCAGAACATTACCCGGACCTAGAAGTCCTGATGGTGCTTCCTTCAAACACTACCCCTTCCCTCTTCTCCAGAGGTAATCCTGAGTTCTAACAACACATACTAGTTTTGCCTTACATAGGCACATTTTACAATTACGACCATTTTCATTTGAAATTTTCCATATTACTTCAGGTTATAGAATTAACCAATTTTACTTTGAATGCAGCCAGCAGTATTCAGAATCACTTGTTGTACATGTTTTAATAATTGATAGAAATCAATTGGGTAATTAGCATGAAATATCAAATGAGGAAAACCTACTTTTTTATACATTTATACATTTTTCTCTGTAGTGAAAAAGAAAGGACAATGGATTTGTTTCATGTTGTACTTTTCTTAGATGATAACAAAGTTAAGCAATTCTTCAGGATTTTCTGCTCACAGAATTTTATTGTGTTTAAAAGCCTTTAAAAATAATCAAATGTAGACATGCCCTTATGAGACTAATGGTTGACTATTTACATGTTTCTTTTGTCTTCCCCCTTCAGTGGAAGCATTGACGTTTCCTCCTTCTTCTGGGAAGTCATTCATCATGGGAGCAGATGAAGCCCTTGAAAGTGAACTGGGACTTGGAGAATTGGCAGGCCTTACAGTGGCCAATGAAGCAGACTCATTAACTTATGATGTGAGTAGTAGTTTTAGTTTTGTTGTTTTTATTTATTTTTTAAAAATAAAAAGTTAATTTTATAGAAAAAGTGACGATGGTAAGACTTCTTCACAAGTGTAGAATTTGGTTCAGTTTTAATCACAAACTTTGAAAATATGAATATATTATAAAAATAAACAATAATACATTTCACATCATGCAGTGACTAAAATTATGGGCTTTACCTAAATTCATAAATTAGTATAGCTTATTCATTGGTTTTAGATAAGGGAAAGAATTCCCTTTTCTATCACCAAATTTGCATTTTGTTTTAGGGCACCAGTGATTAGTTGAAATTCATGCCTGCCTGAAGGCAGCATTTGTCTTGCTTCTTTAATGCATCATCAGTATCCTGCTGAGAAGTAGTTTCAGCTGTTGTTAGGCAAGGGTGTGTACAGGATGCTTTCCAGATGTTAAGGCTGACCTATCAGTGATTTGGACCAAAATTGGAATCTTTACACCTTTATGCATGCATGCATTTACTTAATCTCAAATACAGTTGTTTTATAATTGTTCATCATAATCAATTATCAGAAAAACAGTTGCTTATTTCATAAAGTAGTCACAGCCTATCTTAGCTCTTCACTAAAATCCTCTCACTTTGATATTCATTATCTTTGTTGGGGAATACAATGTAGCTCCTGCCACATGGAGGATGTAGGATGGATCCCTAAGTGAACCTTGGAAGTACTCAGAAGAGGAACCCTCGCCACTCACTCCTTCCTGCAAATCAAATACTCTCTCCCTCTATGCTAAGTCCTTTAGTAAGTCTTTTGGGTTTTACCTCCAAAAACAACTGAAATCCATATAGTACGTCTTTTTACCTCCCCTCCTGGTCCATTTTTTCTTCACCTGGAACTACTACAATAACCTAATCTAAACAGCCCCTTGCACTACATTCTCCACATATGTGATACAGATTTTGAAAAAAAAAGAGATATTTCTGTTTTCATTGTTTTTATATCCTTATATTTTACATGTCTTTTACAAACACTATTTAGTTGGCTTTTATTTTGTAACCTTTGACAACCTTTTTTAATTAGAAAACATTTAGTCCATTTCTTTTTAAAATAGTTAAGGATATAATCCTTAATTTGGATTTCATCCTGCCATCTATTTGTGCCACCTGTGCTGTGTTTGTTTTTCTCCTATTTTTGCCTGAGTTGGGGTTGATTATTTTTTATTATTCACCCCTCCCCATTATTTGGAGTTTATGCACTCTTTCATTACTTTTTAAATTAGAGATTACCACACACATCCTTATCAAAATTTTACATGCAAAGATCTTTAGAACACTTTATTTTAAAAACTCTCACCCTGCATATATGTCACTCTTGTTATATATTTTATTTCTGTATACATTTATGTCCTACAAGCTTCTGTTTTGTATACTCAATAGTCAGTTAGAATTACCCATTGAAATTATCTATTTTGCTTTTTCCCATTCTCCACTGCATATCTGACTGTCCATCTCGGATCACTTTTCTTTTACTCTAAGAACACAATATTTCTCTTTAGTGAAGATCTGCTGGTGCCCAGTTCTCTTAGTTTCTGATTTTCTTAAATTGTCTTTGTCTTTTTTTGCCTGAGTAGGTTAACTATTATCTCTGATTTTGAATTTCACTTGGCAAAAATTTTTTTAGTGCTTTAAATATATTGTTTCATTTTATTTTGTTGTTGTTTTCTGCTAAAGTCAACTGTCATTTCTATTTTTGGTTATTCAGTGGTAATCTGATTTTTTTCCATAACTGGTATTTCTCTATGCCTTGATTGTCAGCTAAGGTTTAATTTTCTTTTTATTTAACCTCCTTGAAATTCTTAGAGCTTCTTGGCTTAATATGTTTCCATCAGTTTTGTAAAGTTCTCAGCCATTTCTCTTCAGATACTGCTTTTACACCTCCCTCTCTCCCTCTCTCCCACTCTCCCTCCCTCCCTCCCTCCCTCCCTCTCTCCCTCTCTCCCCCCTCCCCCTCCTCCCCTCCTTCTAGAACTCTAGTTATATTGTTATATCCCCTTTTTATATTCTCTCTCTCCGATCCCCTTCTGTATTTTCCATTTTTTGTTTTTCCGTACTTCAGTCTAGATTTTTTAAATGACTCATCTTCTGGTTAGCTAATTGTCTCTTCAGTTATGTGTAATCTGCAATTGAACTCATCTATTGAAGTCTTATATTTTTTGCTTCTAGAACTACTTTTTTTAAATGGTTTACAGATTTCTTCCAAAATTTTCAATCTTCTATCTTCTTGAACATAGTAAGCATGATTATTTTAAAGTTTGAATCAGAGACTCAGTAGTTCTGTCACTATTATGTGTTGTTTCTGCTTGTTTTCATTTATGCTGTGTTATCTCATATGGGTACATTATTTTTTAGTATGCCCAAATAACTGTATTTGAAAAATTGTCTGTAGAAATAACTTCAGGCCTAAGTTTATCTTCCCCCAGAGAGTATATTTTAATTTTCTTCTCTCAGATGTCTGCAGCCACTAGAAATCTGGATCACCTGACTTCATTTTCAATTTTTGAGATGATCTAAAGCTGATCTATGGTCTTTGTAAGGGCTGGTGTTCTTTCAGTTCACTCTTATGTGTAGGATACAGGCCCTTGAAATTAAAACCTAAAGCAAGGTGGTCTGCTAAGCCCTACTGTCTTGGCAGACCCTGGACACCAGTTTATATCCCCCTGTGTTGCAAAGCTGTCAGAAGCACCACTCAGCCTCTCAACCACCTCCTCTGCAATCAGTAAACACCCTCTGGGGAAAACAGCTCCAGAGATCAGGCTCACTTCCTGAGGCCTCTGTCTTCCCCTGGATCCTGGGTTTTTTCCCCACTCTTTTGTTGGATCTGCATTTTTTATTTTTAGCTCTGCTTTTCTGCCTGTCCTCAGTACACAGTTGGTCCTAATGATCTAGTCCATCATGGCCAGAAGCAGAACTTCCCATTAGATGCTTTTGTTCCCTCTGCACTAACTCCACAAAGAATTTGTCTAATACATGATAGAACTCAGTTCTCTCTCTAGAGAAAGCTCATTCCTTTTTCATAGCTCTTAATTGTTAGAAAACTTAGTGTCTGTTTCTAAAAGTAGTTCCTAGTTTTACTAAGCATATTAGCAGTCTATTGCTATGTAACAACTTGCACCATGCTTAACAGCTTAAAACAATACATTTATATCTCATAGTTTCTGTGGGTCAGCAGTCTGGGGGCAGCTTAGATGTGTAGTTCTGATTGTTCATGTAGCTGTACTCAAGATGTTGGCAAGGGCTGCAGTCTTACACACACCTGACTTGGGAAAAATCTACTTCTAAGCTCACTCACGTAGTTGTTAGAAGGCCTTGGTTTCTTGCTGGCTATTGGCTGGAGACTAGTTCCTCACCACATAAGCCTCTCTGTGGGCTCCTCAGCAGAGCAGCTGGCTTCTCCCAGTGTGAGTGCACCTGAAAAGGTAGAGAGCAGGAACACTCAGGATGGAAGGTTTTATAACCTAATTTTGGAAGTAATTTGTTCCAGCTTCTACTGTATGCTGTCAGTCATACAGAGCAGCCCTATAATGTGGAAGGCGACTACCCAAAGGTAAAAATAAGTGGGCTAATCGGGAACTATGTTAGTGGCTGCCTACCACATTAAGATGCTCGGAAGGAATCTAAGTGCTCTTACATATGAAAACCTTTTAGCTCTTTAATAAGAGTGGGCAGGAGTCAGTTCAGTTGCCCAGTTGTCTTCTTCACCTCCCCCCGCAACCCCACTTGCCCCAAAGATAACCAGCCCCACTTAGAGTAGTTCATTGCATAGTGTGTTTTGTCTTCACTTATTGCCCCAGTTGTGACATGTCCTGTCCAGATTTTTCTGCAGATTTCTAAACTTCTGGGCTCTGAAGTATAGTTTATATTAATACATAGCCTCTGAAGCCAGACTGATTGATTTTGAATCCTGACTCCTCCATTTACTAGACGGCAAGTCACTTAACTTCTCTATGTTAATTCCTACTTCATAGAGTTGCTGTGAGGATTAACTGAGTTAATGCATGTTAAGCCTTTTGGAATAATGTACAAAATAATGAATAAGGCTCAAAATAGCAGCTATTGTTAGTATCATTGATGATTTTTGTCATTGTAAGTATGGTTAACATTTCTCTAGTGTGTTACCAATACTTGCCCCACTCTTGCTTAAACCTAGCATGATTGTTAGCCTTGGAGTGTGAAGAGTTCATACATGGTGCTTGTGTAAAGTCAAATACTAACCTCTTTGGCTTTCCTATTACTTGGAATGAAAAAACAGTGCATTTTTTTCAGTTGTTGAGATGGAGATTCTGTGGAGAAAAGGAACATAATAATGTATTTATTTTACCAATGGAATCTTTTTTTGTAACATCTGATTGTCTCTTCCAGTTTTAACATTTTATGTTTCTGGTTTATAAACTTTGTCACCAATTTGAAGAAAATTTAGCTCTTGTCAGAAAGCATTGAAAATTTCAAAAGTATCATATTCTGTAATATTAACAGGTTTAAAGATAACTTAGTTTTTCAACTCTTACCCAAAATTAGTTTCTATTCTATAATTTAGGTTGAAATTACTTGTCTTTTTAAAAAATCATCTTAGTGGAGATCTGTTTTATGTTATTAAGTTATTTGATCCTCTTTCTGTATTGAATTATGTTGCCTGTTTTCTTATTATAGCGTTCATATTTCTTCAGAGAAAACCATTGTTAACATATTGCTAATTTTGCCTATTGATTTGGTTATTTATGTTAAAAAATTATATTGTTTTGAAAGTTGCAAAATGTGATGGTTTGATGACAAATCAGTAAGAATTAATGTTGAAATATAGTTTTTTTCCTATCCTGAACTAAATGTATTGGTATTTTTCTTTTGTTTCTTTAATAGATAGCAAACAATAAAGATGCATTGAGGAAGACATGGAACCCTAAGTTTACGTTAAGAAGTCACTTTGATGGCATTAGAGCCCTTGCTTTCCACCCCATTGAACCTGTTTTGATAACAGCATCAGAGGATCACACGTTAAAAATGTGGAATTTGCAGAAAACAGCCCCAGCCAAAAAGTGAGAATATTCTCCTTTAACTGTATTTAAATATTTTAATTAATAGTTTTTCAGAAGAAAAATGCTTACTTTATTATTTGCTGTTAAGTTCCCCAAATATCTCTTCTAATTCTTTCTTCTTTACCATGTCACATAATTTAGGGTGTTTTTCCCTTCATACTCACAAGCTAATTTAGGTTGGAAAACTGACCCTTAGGGAGAAATGGTATTATCTGATGGTTTGTGAATGCTGATTGTAATCTTTATACAGTGTTTTAAATAACTATCACATTTGGGGAGCACTGAAGGTTTCTGCTGGTGTTGTAAACAGGTATGTGCATGTTTAAAATCATCAAACCCACACCCCAAGATTGTCCTGTTGTTTACTAGGTTTTGATTTATGGAGTGGGAGGGAGGGAAGGCTGATGGGGGATGGGGGGACAGGGAGAGGTGAGAGACCTCTCTTTGGTCTTTTCTTTTGACCTTGACCAAAATGTCTAGACTGAAAGACACTGTTGTTGCTCTCACTTAACCGCTAATACTTGCCTTGGCCTCTTGGTTCCTCTCTAAGCATGGGCAGACATGAGTTGGTATAAATCCCTTTTATCAGTCACCAGTGGTAGTCCTGATCCCACTTGGTGGGGTCCTTATTGGAACACCTCTCTTTTCTTCCTTGGGTCACATGGTCCAGAACCCAGCATCTGCCAGCAAGGGCCCTTCTACAGTGTTGGACACCTCTTTTATTAAAGAGTAGAAATGAACATCAAATGGAGGAGATTATGGAAGTTTTACTACTGGTAGAGAATATCTATTGCCCAGTTTAAAAGAGATCAATGACACTCCTGCTGTGAGTCATACATAAACTAGATAAAATACTTGATTCATCAGATAGCTCAACCAGATCTTGCTTAAAACCAAGTGAATCCTCATGTAGATTAGGTGTCTTCAGCAGAGAAGAAGTATTTCTTGGTTATAAATTGTGCCTTTTGTCTTTCAAGTTCTTTAGTCACAGGGGACATCATTACTGGACCAGAGAATGTGAATGTCTCATCATATATTGACTAAAATTTAGAAAAATATTGAAATAAATTCTTTGCTGGTGATAGCTTAGTAACAACATCTTCACATTGCAAGTAACAGTAGCCTGTTTACCTTTGAACTTAAAACTTTGGTAATGAGGAGAGATATCATATGCCTTTAAAAAAAACTGCAGTGCAATCCAATTTTAAATCGAGTTTCCATTATCAGTCATGGCCAGTATTAGGCCCTGTAGAGTACCCATATACTCAGTGTTCTGAGTAATGAATAATCTGATGATTTGGACAGTTTCTGCAGGTATTAAGGACAGGCATGTTAACCTTTATGCAAATGCAAGGAAATTAAAATACTTTTGATTGAAATTCTACTATGTGTATGGTTCTGTCCTAGGCTCTTTTACCATGTAGAATCACATTTAATCCTGTGAATATTTGGTGTTATCCCTATTTTTCTGTTTTATTTTAAACATAGAGGAATCTGGAATTCCAAAAGATTAAATAATTTGCTTAAAGTTAGCCAGTTAGTGACAGAATTGGAAATTGAATCCGGAAGTTTATCTCTTCAAAGCCCATGTTTTATCCCCTGAGTGAGGCTCTCTCTTCCTTTAGTCAAATAGATTAGGACAATGCTAAAAGCACTGTAACAAGGTATTGTTACTAAACAAGAATTTTGTTTCTTGAAGTCACAAATATATGTGATCCGTGTTAAGTAAGCTTTCTTGTGTACTGGGGTTGAGAATGGTATATTATCATAGTGTTGGTATTTCTAGGAGCAATTTTATGACATACATTGTCATACTGTTTACTACTGAAAACTTAAAGTGGTAAAAGTCCTCCTCTCTCTGATTTAGGAGCACTTCTCTTGATGTGGAGCCTATCTATACATTCAGAGCTCATAAGTAAGTATGTGCTTTTTCTTTGTGTTAAATCAACATCATTGTAAATCAGCCTAATTAGCATATTTTCTTTTCTTTCGCGTATGTATTTGTGTTATGTATTTTTTTGTATTTAGTAGTGTTTTTTGTAAATGTAAAAGAAACTGGCAGATAATATAATGCTAGAGACAAGTTTATCACTACCAAATTGGGATCCTTGCTGAAATTAGATTTTATTTGCATGATGTGTAGATGATGTATATATCTCTCTTAAAATGAAGTTGAGGCAATTAAGTTTAACCATGAGAAATCCTGATCTTTTTTCCTTAAAAATATCTGAGACTTTTTTTTGTTGTGATCACATGTTGCACGCTTTTCCTGTTTCCATTTAAGTTTAAGGAATGTACCTGTTCACTTGATTTAGCACAGAGGTTGGCATACTTTTTATAAATAGAGGGCCAATTAGTAAATGTTTGTAGGCTTTGCTGGCTGCATATTTAATGTTGTACATTCTTGATTTTAGTTTGGTTTTGTATTACAACCCTTTAAAAAATGTAAAAACCATAAATGCTTGAGGACTGTACGAAAGCAGTCCTCTGGTTGGATTTGGTCCATAGGCCACAGTTTACCAACCACTGGTTTAGCAGAGGAAGAAAAATGAATAATGCTTTGATAGTTTTTTATTTGTTATCCAAAGCAGAAAAAAAGAAAGCCTTTTGAATAATTAAGCATTCTTGTTTTTAACAAGTCCTATTATCAGATAGATTTTTGAGAATAGAAATTGATTTTCCTTCCCAGAGGTCCAGTGCTTTGTGTGGTGATGAGCAGCAATGGTGAGCAGTGCTATAGTGGCGGGACTGACGGACTGATCCAGGGCTGGAACACCACCAACCCCAACATCGATCCCTATGACTCTTACGGTATGTGATTCCCCAAAAATATGAAAGAATATTTTCTTTTTATGCATTTTACATAGCATATATAAGGATAAAATGAGATGTTTTTGAAAATAAATTGGTAAAAGGGAACCATGTATTTATTTTGTTAAAAAGGACTCCTGTATTTGGGAATCAATTTGCTATACATAATGCTAAAAGAAAAGAGAAAATAACGTATTTTTCCCAAGAAAACAGTTCCCACCCCAAGAAGTCTTACTGATTGGAAATGCTGTCTTGATTGACAAATGTTTTTCTTCATTGTAGGCATCTGTACAGTACTTAATACATTATTACTAATCTGTAATCATATTTTGTCACTATTCTTGACAAATAACTTTGAAGGAAAATGAATGATGGCATCATCTTCTTGATCAGTTATTGGAGGGTATAGAGGCTAATGATTTTTAAAGTGTATGGCACCAAAATATTTAAAAGGCTTTAAAAAGTTAAGAAGTGCCCTTTAGATTTGGGAACAGCACCATGAAACAAAAAACTGTATTATAATCTGTCACTAGATATTATCATAAATTCCCTTGCAAAAACTGTTTAGGAACTATTTTGGTTTCCTCTTAAAATTCTCCTTAAATTCTAGAATGGTATGAAATGTCAAATATGTCATAAAACCATATTTTATTTTTGTTATCATTTAATTAATTTTACTAATAAACCTAAGTAAAGATAAGAAATTCAGTAACTAAAAGTTTCTTCTAACATTTATTTAATAAGCATTTAACATATATTTTGTGAAGGTTAACACCCCCTCTCCCTCCACAATTCTCTTACAGATTTATCTGTTTCATGCTTTTCCTTCCTTACTTTATCCCTGTACCAGATATCGGTTGACCTCATTCTGTCCCAAGCCAGCCCTTCCCCTTTGCTCTTGACCTCATTCTCTTGTTTCCTTTGAGACTTCACTCTAATATCAGTCTTCTTCTCTGTTTCTGGCTGACTCTTTCTCTTTTGTTCTCTCTTGCCCTCATCTGAAGCTTTACCCTCTTTGTTCTCTTTCCATCCCCTCAGCATGTAAGTAAATTCAAGTGTCTCCCATCCTGGGCAAGGAGAAGACTTTTCTGACTCCATTTCCCTCTCTGGCTTTTGTTTAGTCTCTCTTTCCTTCATTTCTTTCATTCCTGTGTCTCTTTGGCGATATTGTCTAGGAATCACAATTACTAGTTACTAATTCCATGTCCTTTCCCTGTGCATGATTCCTTTGCATTCTGTCTTCTGGCTGTTCCACTTAAATATAACAAGATATCAGTATCTACCTAATTTGGCTGATCCAAGGAGTATTTTACAGTCCTTATTTTACTGGATATACTGGCTATCTGAAACTGTGGACCACTCCATCCTTTTTGAAATCTGCTCGCTCTTGGCTTTTTTGACAGCTAACTCTATGACAGTTTCTATTCCCTGTCCATCATAAACTCCTTTATTTTCCTCACCTGAAATATTAACATTTATCAAGGCCAGACCCTAATTCATTCTTTGCATTGCACACATCGTCTTTGGTAGATTGAATCCACTTTGTGGTTTTATATGCTATTGACTCATAAATCTCTTCTTTAGGATTCAGACTACCTACAGAACATCTCAAAGTGGCTGTCTCATTGTACATAAATCCCTACAAGCACTGTTTCTTCTTCCATATATATATGTTTTGGGAGGGCAGGGGTGGCATCGCGTGGCTTGCGGGATCTTAGTTCCCCGACCAGGGATCGAAGTGAGAACGCCAAGTCCAAGTCCTAACCACTGGACTGCCAGGGAATTCCCTTTCCATGTATTCTTTATCAGTTGTTGACACTACCAGAATTATCCAAACTAGAAACCTAAGAGTTATCCTTGATTCCTTGTACCGTTTTACTATCTATACCTTGTTAATTACCTCCCCCTGAATATTTCTTGAATTTACTCCTGCTCTGCCCCTTTTATCACTGTCCTCGTCTGGGTCTTCACCTTCACTCTCCCAGTCTTCTGAAACAGTCCCCTTGCCTTCATCTTGATTCTTTCCAATCTGTCTTCTACACTATAATCAAAGTTACCTTATTAAATACTTACTTCACCCTGCTTCTCCTGGGAAACCCTTCAGTGGTTCCCTATTGCTTTTAGGATAATTTCTTTAATACGTCATAGAAATCCCACCATAAACTAGCCACTCTCATCTCTTCCGCTTCTTGCCTCAAATTTCACAGTCCAGTAATACTGACTTTCTTATAAATTTCCTCACATAGCATGCTATTTTTCCTTCTGTGATTTTGTAGGAGCTGCTTTCATTCATCCCAGTCACTCTCCATGGTAACTGGTATCTGTCACTATTATTGTACTTACCACATTGTCTTTTGAAGACAAGGATGGTACTGTGTCTTAATCATCTGCATGGCCCCTGCATCTAGCATAGTGCCTAATACATAGTTTATCTTCAATAAATATTTTATGGTATGACTTAAGAGAGGATATAGGTCAGATAACACCATTGACATTTTAAATCTAACATCTGTGAGCCATCTTGAAAGTACCACTTCATAGACTCATTGTGAGGGTTAACAAGTAAAATTTCCAAGTTGGCTTTTATCAGGAAACAGTGCTAAGCAAACGCCCTCCCCAGCCTTCTCCTTGCCCCTCCCCCACATGCACATCATTCATGTGTCACATCTTGCTGTTTGGGCATCTGGGGATTCCTGTAGGTCTCAGTTCATGTCCATTAAGGATGACAGAGGCCTGTTGCTCCCAAGAACGACTGCCATTCATAGCACAAATGGCCTAAAGAGTGTATCCAAAGTGCTGAAGGACATCAGAGGAGGGAAAGGGTCTCCGTTCACTTCCTCAGGGAATGTGAGTTGTGGTTTCTCTCAAAGTAGATTAAATTCAAATGGTTTATGTTAACATGCCTTTTAAAAAAATCAAGACAAATGGAAAGAAGAAAGGGAGGGAGAAGGAAATATGTAATTTTTTTAAGGAGAAGTATATGTACTTTAAAATTTTAATTTCAAACCCTACATTTGCATGTTTCCAAGCCTGTTTTTGCCACATTTCAGAAGAAAACTAGAAACTAGGAGGTGTATTTTATACTTTTTGTTTTGTATATTTTACTTTCCTTTGGAATCTAAGTACCTTTATGATTTGTGCTTTTTTCCCTGCATTCTTTCTGTTCTTATAGATCCTTCTGTTTTAAGAGGCCCTCTCCTAGGCCACACCGATGCAGTCTGGGGTTTGGCTTACAGTGCAGCGCACCAGCGTTTGTTGTCCTGTTCAGCAGATGGCACTCTCCGTTTATGGAATACAACCGAGGCTGCTCCAGCCCTGAGTGTATTTAATGATAATCAAGGTACATACTTTTTTCCCCTTATTTTACTCAGTGTTTTATAAAATTATTATAAAAAGAAACAAATAAATAAATGATTCTACAAACTCTTACTGTTTAAATTTAATTTGAAGGTTGTTTTTAAGCAGTAAAAATATATTTGCTTGAATTTCCAACTTAGTACGTATAAGTTTAAAAAGCATACTGTTTGGTGAAATAGCATGCCTTTTTTGAATTTTTAAAAATTGAGATATGATTTCTATACAGTATAAAACAGATATTAAGGGTACATTTTCATGAGTTTGACAAATACATAAAACTCTTGCACCTATCAAGATAGAACATTTCCTTCACTGCCCTAAAGTTTCTTTGTGTTCTTCCCAGTCATCCACCTTGCCCATTCCTAACCAGCGGTACCCACTGTTGTGATTTCTTTCATTATAAATTAGTTTTGTCTATTCTAAAACTTCACATAAATGAAATCATACAATGTGCACTCTTTTTGTGTCTGACGTTTACTCTCACTGTAGTGTTCCTGTGATTCATCCATGTGGTAATAAGCATTAATAATTTATTTTTATTGTTTAGTAGTAAGTATTTCCTTAAACCACAGTGTTTATCATTTACCTCTTCATGAACATTTGGGTTGTTTCCATTTTTTCCTATTATGAACAAAGCTGCTGTGAATTTTTTTTTTTTTTAAATCACAGGCAGGTAAAGACCTGGAAATAGAATTTCTGGGCTTTAGAGTTAGAATTGTGTGTTCTAACTTTATGTGAAATTGCCAGACTTTCTTTGAAAGTAGTTGTTCCATGTTACGCCACTGACTGCAACGTGTGAGAATTCCAGTTGCTCTACATCCTTAATTACAAACATTTGGTGTTGAGGATGTATTTAATTTTAGCCATTTTGGTGGGTGTGTAGCAGTATTTCATTGTGATTTTAATTTGTATTTCCTTGGTGGCTAATTATTCTGAGCACCTTTTTTGTGTGTTCATTGGCCATTAATGTACCTTCTGGAAGATACACATTTTTGAACTGTCAGCTTACTTAGATTTTGAACCAGATTTTAAAAATCAGATTATATTCACATATACATAGAATTATATATATATATATATATATATATATTTTTTTTTTTTCGGTATGCGGGCCTCTTGTGGCCTCTCCCATTGCGGAGCACAGGCTCCGGACGTGCAGGCTCAGCGGCCATGGCTCACGGGCCCAGCCGCTCCGCGGCATGTGGGATCCTCCCGGACTGGGGCATGAACCCGTGTCCCCTGCATCGGCAGGCGGACTCTCAACCACTGCGCCACCAGGGAAGCCCAGGATTATATTTTTTTATGTTTATAAATAAGTTCCAAGGTTTACCCTATTCTAGATGATAAATAAAAATACCTTCTTTATTCTTGAGCTGCCATAACTTGTGCCTAGGTTTTGATGAGTTGCCTGCATTTGATATTTGCATAACTCTACCAATAAATAACAATTTGAGGTTTTACTTCTTAAATTCCATACTTTTAGAGAGTTAGAATTCCTATTAAGAGATAGGCTTTTAAAATGAAGAATTCCTGTGATGCCCCTCTAAACCCCAGGTTGATTTGAGGTGGAAGCAGAAAAACTTGTAGTCCATATGTTTTCCATTTATTTCTAAATAAAGGCTTAGATTCAATGAATACAGTAGCTGTGAGTGACTGGTAGAAGATGTGGTAAACAAGTAAGGATGATAAAATAGACTAGGACTAAGAGTAATGAAAGAAACAATCTGCACTGAATGACTATGAGCTAATTCTTATTCTAATGTTGAGCCTTATTTACTTCTTATACCACCGTTTGTTTTGCTATATTCTAAGCACATTGTAAAGCAGACCCTCTAACTGCCGTTCTCTTCGAATGTGTTCTGACTCTTAGAATTGGGAATCCCTGCCTCTGTGGATCTAGTGAGCAGTGACCCGAGCCATATGGTAGCATCATTCAGCAAAGGATACACAAGCATCTTTAACATGGAAACACAACAACGCATTCTCACTTTAGAATCCAACCTAAATTCAAGTATGTATACCAATTTTAAGTAGTCTGTGTTTGGATCAATTTTTTAAACGTTATCAGAATTATAACTACTAGAGTCAACTATGAAAAACACTTGTCATTATAAAGTGTTCTGCCTCAAAATCATATAACACAATTAGAAGGATATAATGATTTACAGTTGATTTTAAGTCTTTAGGTTAAGTTTATTCACATGTATAACTGTACTGTTTGAAGTAGCATTTGAGCTATTCTAAAGGACGTCAAGTTTAATTTTATACCAAATGCTTAGTTTTCAATTCTATTTGAAGACAATAATATTTATTCTGAATAGAGGCATATCTTGGAGTTTTTCAAGGGTTCAGTTTCAGACCTTCGAAATAAAGCAAATATTGCAACAGAGTGAGTCACATGAAGTTTTTGCTTTCCCAGTGCATATAAGAGTTATGTTTACACTATACTACAGACTGTTAAGTGTGTACATATCTTAATTTAAAAGTACTTTATTGCTGAAAAATGCTAACCACCATCTGAGCCTTCAGTGAGTCATAATCTTTTTGCTGGGGGAGGGTCTCGCCATGATGTTGATGGCTGCGGACTGATCAGCGGGTGGTTGCTGAAGGTTGGGTGACTGTGGTAATTTCTTAAAATAAGACAGCAGTGAAGTTTGCCGTATTGACTGACTCTTCCTTTCACGAACAACTTCTTTGTAGCATGCGTTGATGTTTGATAGCATTCTACCCACAGTAGAACTTCTCTTGAAATGGGAATCAATCCTCTCAAACCCTGCCTCTGTTTGATCAACAGGATTTTTGTAATTATGTAATCCTTTGTTGTCATTTCAACAGTCTTCACAGCAGCCTCACCAGGAGTAGATTCTATCTCAAGAAACCACTTTCTTTGCTCATTCATAAGAAGCAACTCCTCATCCATTCAAGTTTTATCATGAGATTGCAGCAATTCAGTCACATCTTCAGGCTCCACTTCTAATTTCTAGTTCTCGTGCTATTTCCACCACACCTGAAGTTACTTCCTTCACTGAAGTCTTGAACCCCTCAAAGTCATCCATGAGGGTTGGAAGTAACCTATTCCATACTCCTGTTCATGTTGACATTTTGACCTCTTCCCATGAATCACAAATGTTCTTTTTTTTTTTTTTTTTTTTTTTGCGGTACGTGGGCCTCTCACTGTTGTGGCCTCTCCCATTGCAGAGCACAGGCTCCGGACGTACAGGCCCAGCGGCCACGGCTCACGGGCCCAGCCGCGCTGCGGCACACGGGACCCTCCCGGACAGGGGCACGAACCCACGTCCCCTGCATCGACAGGCGGACTCTCAACCACTGCGCCATCAGGGAAGCCCTACAAATGTTCTTAATGGCATCTGGAATGGTAAATCCTTTCCAGAAGGTTTTCAATTGGCTTTGCCCAGATCCATCAGAGAAATCACTAGCTATGGCAGCTGTAGCCTTATGAAATGTATTTCTTAAATAATAAGACTTGAAAGTTGAAATTACTCCTTGATCCATGGGCTTTGGAATGGAGGTTGTGTTAGTAGGCATGAAAAAAACATTAATCTCATTGTACATCTTCATTAGAGCTCTTGGGTGACCGGGTGCATTGTCAGTGAATAGTAATATTTTGAAAGGAATCTTTTTTTCTGAGCAGTAGGTCTCAAGAGTGGGCTTATAATATTCAGTAAACCATGTAGTAAACAGATATGCTGTCATCCAGGCTTTGTTTTTCCCTTTATAAAGCACAGGCAGAGTAGATTTAGCATAATTCTTAAGGGCCATAGAATCTTCAGAATGGTAAATGAACATTGGCTTCACCTTCAGGTCACCAGCTGCATTAGCACCTAACAAGAGAGTCAGCCTGTTCTTTGAGGCTTTGAAGCCAGGCATGACTTCCCTCTAGCTATGAAAGTCCTAGGTGGCATCTTCTTCCAATAGAAGGCTGTTTCATCTACATTGAAAATCTGTTGTTTAGTGTAGCCACCTTTATTCATTATCTTAGCTAGATCTTCTAAGTAACTTGCTGCAGCTTCTATATCAGCACTTGCTGCTTCACTTTGCACTTTGATGTTACAGAGACAGTGCTTCTTTCCTGAGCCAACCTCTGCTAGCTTCAGACTTTTCTTCTGCAGCTTCCTAACCTCTCTCAGCCTTCATAGAATTGAAGAGAGTTAGGACCTTGCTCTGGATTAGGCTTTGGCTTAAGGGAATGTTGTGGCTGGTTTGATTTTCTATCCAGCCCCCTAAGACTTTCTCCATACTGTTTTGCTTTCTTATCATTCATGTGTTCACTGGAATAGCACTTTCAATTTCCTTCAAGAACTTTTTCTTTGCATTCACAACTTTTGGCTGACTGGAGCAAGAGGCCTAGCTTTTGGCTTGTCCTTTCCACATGCCTTCCTTGCTAAGCTTAACTATTCCTGGCTTTTAATTTAAAGTGAGAAGTGTGCAACTCTTCCTTTCATTTGAGCACTTGGTCATTGTAGGGTTACTGATTGGCCTAATTTCAATATTGTTGTGCCTCAGAGACTAGGAAGGCCCAAGGAGAAGGAGAGAGATGGGGTTACAGCTGGTCGGTGGAGCAGTCAGAACACACACGACATTTATCAAGTTCACCGTCTTATATGGGTGCACTTCATGGCACCCCAAAACAAATACATTAGTAATATCAAAGATCAGGGACCACAGATCACCATAACAAATATTAATAATGAAAAAGTTTGAAATATTGCAAGAATCACCAAACTGTGACATAGACACGAAGTGAACAAATTCTATTGAAAAAATGGAACCAATAGACTTGCTAAATACAGGGTTGCCACAGACCTTCAGTTTTTAAAACAACACAGTATTTGCAAAGCACAATAAAATGAGATAGGCCTGTATAAAATAAATCTGTTTTTCATTTCTCATAATTTTACTTTTTTTTTTTTTTTTTTTTTTCTTGCGTTATGCGGGCCTCTCACTGTTGTGGCCTCTCCCATTTGCGGAGCACAGGCTCCGGACGCGCAGGCTCAGTGGCCATGGCTCACGGGCCCAGCCGCTCCGCGGCATGTGGGATCTTCCCGAAACGGGGCACGAACCCGCGTCTCCTGCATCGGCAGGCGGACTCTCAAGCACTGCGCCACCAGGGAAGCCCTCATAATTTTACTTTTTTAAAGAATAGTTGCTATGCAATATTATATGTTATAGGTGTACAGTATTGTCATTCACAATTTTTAAAGGTTATACTCCATTTATAGTTATTATAAAATATTGGCTGTATTCCTCATGTTGTACAATATATCCTTGTAGCTTATTTTTATTTTTTTATTTTTTATTTTTAAAAAATGTCTAAATACTTTTTTTTAATAGATCTTTATTGGAGTATAATTGCTTCACAATACCGTGTTAGTTTCTGTTGCACAACAAAGTGAATCAGCCATATGCATACACGTGTCCTCATATCCCCTCCCTCTTGAGCCTCCCTCCCATCCTCCCTATCCCACCCCTCTAGGTCATCGCAAAGCACCGACCTCTAGACACAAGACAATCAGAGCTCCAGCTCCATTTCTCTGATTCATCTGGCTGCCTTCCTCCTTTGTGTGCTGGCTTTTTCCTCAGACTAACTTGCCCCGTGGTCACAACATGGCTGCCAGCATACCTGGAACAACCTGCTCCCTTGTTCATTTCCAACAAGAGAGGCGACCTCACCCTGAAAAACATACGATTAAAGTTTTTCCCTCCTGTCTGTTTGATACATCTTGGGACACAGCCGACCCTTGAATAGTCACGATCAACTGGAGAGAGCCCTGTGCTGATGGGCTCAAGCCTGCAGTCCTAAAGCAATCACCAGCAAGGGGGACTACACACACACAAACACACACACACACACACATACACACACACACACACACACACACAACCATCCTTGGCATAGACTTGGAATTGGGATCCTCCCCAGGAGCTGGGGATGGACCAGCTTCCTTTGAGCCCTCTGGCTACATTTATTCCATTTACCAAGTTGGGGTTGTGTTATAAAGGAGGAAGCAGGGAAGCAGGTGCTCTGCTTAGGCAACCAAGAGTGTCCGGTCCAGATAGCTTGACTCGGGGCACATCTTCAAGGAGCCTGGTGCATCCTTAGCCAACATATTGAGAAAAGGCAAAAGTTTCCCCTGCCTCCCTTGCCTGTTTGGCTTGCACTTTTCTTTTGGTGTTTCTTTGAGATAAAAGAAAGAAAGAAGTGGAAAAAGAAGGGAACTAAGAAAGAAAAACTACTGTCCTCTCTGGCTTTCTCTCTCTCCCTCTCCCTCTCCCTCCCTCTCCCTCTCCCTCCCTCTCTCCCTCCCTCCCTCCGTCTCTCTCTCTCTCTCTCTCTCTCTCTCTCACTCGACTACACAGAATCCTAGGGATTGTAATAGTGACCACTGATGTCATGGCAACAGGAAATGCAGTATTATGGGCTGAGCCCAGAGGAATATTATCTGTATAAAGTTTTTTTTTTTCAGTGACTATGAACTTCTTTTTTGTATTTTGTATTTTTTTATCCTTTTAACATCTTTATTAGAGTATAATTGCTTTACAGTGGTGTGTTAGATTCTGCTGTATCGAAAAGTGAATCAGCTATATGTATACATACATCCCCATATCCCCTCCCTCTTGTGTCTCCCTTCCACCCTCCCTATCCCCCCGACCAGGTGGTCACAAAGCACCGAGCTGATCTCCCTGTGCTATGCGGCTGCTTCCCACTAGCTATCTATTTTATGTTTGGTAGTGTATATATGTCCATGCCACTCTTTAACTTTTTCCCAGCTTCCCCTTCCCACTCCCTGTGTCCTCAAGTCCATTCTCTAGTAGGTCTGCATCTTTATTCCTGTCCTGCCCCTAGGTTCTTCATGACCAGTTTTTTTTTTTAAGAATCCATATATATGTGTTAGCATACAGTATTTGTTTTTCTCTTTCTGATTTACTTCACTCTGTATGACAGACTCTAGGTCCATCCACCTCACTACAAATAACTCAATTTCATTTCTTTTTATGGCTGAGTAATATTCCATTGTATATACGTGCCACATCTTTTTCCATTCACCTGTTGATGGACAGTTAGGTTGCTTCCATGTCCTGGCTGTTGTAAATAGAGCTGCAGTAAACATTGTGGTACCTGACACTTTTTGAGTTATGGTTTTCTCAGGGTATATGCCCAGTAGTGGATTGCTGGGTCCTACGGTAGTTCTATTTTTAGTTTTTTAAGGAACCTCCATACTGTTCTCCATAGTGGCTGTATCGATTTACATTCCCACCAACAGTGCAAGAGGGTTCCCGTTTCTCCACACCCTCTCCAGCATTTATTGTCTGTAGATTTTTTGATGATGGCCGTTCTGACCAGTGTGAGGTGATACCGCATTGTAGTTTTGATTTGCATTTCTCTAATGATTAGTGATGTTGAGCATCTTTTCATGTGTTTGTTGGCAATCTGTATAGATCCTCTGCCCTCCCAGTGGTTCCCCAATTTCTCCCTTCGGCATGGGATCCCTTCCCCTCCCCCCATCCATCCCTCAGGGGTGCCAGTCCCTTCCCGCCTCCACTTCTCCTCCCCCTTCACTCCCCCACAACGCCCCACATCCTACCCAGTCGCTGGGGGTTCCTCCCGTCCCCTTAGGTGTCCGTGGTCCCCCACCAGTGCCTGGTAGGTGCCCTAGTTGTGGAGACGCAAGTTCCGCGTCCTTCTAGTACACCGTCTTGACTTCGCCCTCTCTTAGTAAATTTAAAATCATGCTTAGACATATGACCTAAAGCTACTGTAATAAAATAAAAAGCCAATATGAAATTAAGAAGGATGTGAACATTTTTCAAATTACCTTCAGAGAGTATGGTCAATTCTTTGAACGTCCTCAACGTAAATGTTGATTTTAATGACTCCTACAAATTAATAAGGTCTCAAGTCAGTGAGTGAGATGGATAAGCTAAACTAGGCAATTCCATTTCTCCCTCACGATATATGACTGTAAAGTCATATGACTTTTTGCCTGATACTAGAAGCATTTTCTGAAGAAGAATGCCAAGAACGTTTTGAGCAAAGGCAGCATTGTTGGAATAAGTGATAACTATTTCGAGTTATAATAATATGTCCTGACATTTCCTAAGTTATCAGTTTGATTACTTTAGAGTTATATAAAGCAAATTTATTTCTTTCTACTGTGACTCCCTTAGCTGTTCATATTTGACTATGTTATTGTATTCTGGAATTTAGCAGGTGTTTTTTTAAATTAAAGTTCAGACCAAACATGTTTTAAGGTAAAAGTGAATTTCGTATAGTTTAAAAGGATGAAAGATGTTTGTTGTTAGAATCAGAATAAATTACCTTTCTTCTTATTGATGGCAGTGGTGATTTGACTATGATTAAGTTAAAGGTAGTTGAAGCAGGTAATTGGGTACTTGTGAACCCATTGGAAAGGTAAACTATTTTTATGTCATAAGCTGAATATAAATATTTGGAGGATTCTTTTAGACTCATTGTTAGAATGATGGCTAGTAGGCCTTCAGTTTATTTCTAGTGTTCTTTGTATTTTGCTTACTTTTACTTGTCTGATTTACCATCACCTGGAGAAATTTCCTTAAAAAGTATTACTAAATAAGAACTTTCTTTTGCCTGATTTCTATCATGCTTCTTTTTTAGATTTCAAAGTAATTGAAGCTATTCTCAGAAACTTCTCTCCCAAAATATATCGGATACTTTAAAGTATTTGTATTTTGTTGTTATTCTCCTGCTAGACCTTACAGCAGATATTGGTCAGTGGTGTGTTATCTCTGGAGGAAAAAATATCCATAAGCTGAATTTTTAATCTAAACTCTTTGTTTAGGACCATTTAAAATGAATATAATTGTCCCAGAGCTTACTCCACATGGTCAAGTGACTTTTTGTTGTGCACTTAGATAACAGGCTGGGTGGCTGCCTGCCATTAGCATTGGAAAAAGACTACCTTCAGCTTTTAAGATGTCATATTTCTAGGTACCACGTGAAAATCCAATAGAGTAGACTAATATTGGAGCTATTTTTAGCTATGCATCACTATATTTTCTATTATGAGTGTAACTTCATGATACCTATTCAAAGAAAAGTTTCAAAAACAGTACAAGAATTCTTGGTTAACCTTCACCCAGATTCACCAGTTTTTAACATTTTGCCATATTTGTCACATTTACTTTATCATTCTCTGTGTATAATTTAAAATTCTGAGCCATTTAAGAGACGTTATATACCTATTATATACCTATACCCCTAGATCCTTTAGCATGTAATTCCTATGAATAAGGACATTCTCTGACAGCACATTACATTATCAAAATCAGGAAATTTGACATTGACACATGCTGTTATTGTTTACACTCAAATTTGCCAGTTGTCCCAATAATGTACTTTATAAGGACATCCCTTCTCCCAAGACCATGATATAATAATTAGTTTTTAACTTTGACATATCTTAAATTAGTGTTATCTTTGTGTAGATTTTCCCTTTTTTTCTTGTAAAAAGTATTGTAACAAAAATCACTAATTACACTTAAGTTCTTAATAATTGATTTCCACTTCATAAAAGGCTGTCAGGAGGAACTTGTGATAGTTTAGGTAGCGATTTTGGCAGTTGCCTGATTTGCATGAGCCATCTAGTTGGGATAGAGGTAGAAATTAGCATAGGTACTAGCTTTGTTACCATGATTTTGGGGAAGTCACAGATGTTTTCTGGACCTTGGTTCATTCACTGTGTTATGAACCTAATGACATGTGGCCTGCCTGTCTCATTGTGTGTATAATTAAGATCTCTTTGAACACAATTAAATAGTGTGTAAAAAAATACTATTAGGATGCTATTTTCAGATTCCAAACATGGTAGACTGTTAAATGACCATTTCTATTATGAGAAAGAGAAGATTAAAGAGTTAAAAATTCTCTTTGTCTTGTTTATCTTTAGATGATAACTATGTGATAAAGAGCTCTGTATCTAGAATGAGCTGAGATTTAAGTTTGGGAATTATCTACATGAAGTAATGATGGAATTTTATTAAAGTAGCAAAAGTATCATAGAACACTGTAGAATGAGAAATGTCAGTGGCTCTGGGCTAAGCTCTAGGTGGCATCCATTGATAGCAGGTGGGTGGAAAAGGAAATTCTAATTCCCAGGTACTTCTAGATTTGTCAGTAGAGTGTTGCTCAGGTGATTCTCATTTCCTAACATCGCAATTATGAAAACAATTGCAGAATAAATGAACTAAAGACAAGTTAAAGTCATATCATTTACTTTTCCAATCTCTTAGGTGAATATTCAGTTCTCTTTTGTGTGAAGAAATAGTAGCTTTGACAAATTTGTATTGCTCTTTAATTTTTTCTTTTTAGCAGCCAACTCTTCCTGCCAAATAAATAGAGTCATCAGTCATCCCACTCTTCCCATCAGCATCACTGCTCATGAAGACAGGCATATCAAATTCTACGATAACAATACAGGTAAGAATTTATTTAAATTGATTATTGTTAAAGCAAAAAAAAAAAAAAAATCCCAGCTGTAATTTTGGTGTCTGTCAGTGGCTTTATAGTCAGCGAATAGGCACTGAAACACAAATCCTCTCCCAGATCAGTTTCTTTTTACTCCATCTAAATCTGCTAAGAACTAGTCTTCACGATAGCATATAGAATCATCTTGGTTTATTTAATAGTAAATAAGTGTTATATTTTGGCCCTAGAGCCAAGGTTATTACTAGGAACACAGTGAAAAATTCATTTAGATACCAATAAAATGATCTCTTGTTTTGAATATATTGTGGAAAAGTAGAAATTTATTGGAAGTAGAGGCATATGATCATTACAGATGGCAAACCCCTGAGTCATTTGATTTATTTTATTTGTTTTTCCATGGACTAAATTTTTTCTTTATTATAATACTGATTATTTGGTCCTGACTGATTTGCACTGAGGTATGAAGGCTTTCCCAATTTTTATTAGCTTATATTTCACTAGTCTAAAGGAAATGCATGAAGAGCTGGTTGGGAGAACAGCTCACTGTATTAGCAGCCATATTTACCTGAGTATCTGCTACTGGCTTTGTAAATGTGTTGACTTTTGCTAACTTTGCTTAGCTACAAGTGATGAATAATTTAACATTTTTAATCTCTTTCTATGTACTGTTTCCACCAAAACTGTGGCCAGGTTTTCTCTCTGTTACTTTGTCTTTGTCTCAGTATTTTCTTCTGCTTCCACAACACAGACAATTTGCCTGTAGCTAAAGGATGCAAAGTCAGTGATGAATAATGTCTGAGTTTTAGTTAATGAACATGGCTTAAAGGAATATTTGTGTGCAAATTAATTAATCTTTCACACTTCCATTATTGTGAAAGACAAAAATATAATCTGAAATTTGAGCTTTTGTTTCTCATTATCATCATGGCCAGAGCAGGGAGGGAGACACGTGTTGTTTTAGCAGTTGGAAAAGCTATTGATGTAGAGACTACACAAAGAGGGGTGACTGGCGAAGCCAGTACAGCGAGGTAGCTGGCTTGTATTCAGGATAAGCTAAACTATTACTAAAGAGTAACAATCTCTTTTTCCAAAGGCAAACTGATCCACTCGATGGTAGCCCACCTAGAAGCTGTTACAAGTTTAGCAGTTGATCCAAATGGCCTGTACTTAATGTCTGGCAGTAAGTACAACTATGGATTATTTATTTATTCTTACCATTTTTATATTTAATGTAATTTTTCTCTTAATTTCTTTTCTTTTGATATAGGTCATGACTGTTCAATACGTTTATGGAACCTAGAAAGTAAGACGTGTATCCAAGAGTTCACAGCTCATCGGAAAAAGTTTGAAGAATCAATTCATGATGTAGCTTTTCACCCATCCAAATGCTATATAGCCAGTGCTGGGGCTGATGCACTAGCTAAAGTCTTTGTATGACACAATGCATCATCTTCACCTTCTAGCTGTTTATAAATAATCAACTGCACAAAAGAGATACAGAAGACCAGGGCAAGAGTCAACCCATCCAGCCCTTTTGTTCTGCTGAAGGAGCACAGAGAACATTTGTTAAAGTATAGTTTTGCAATTCGTTTTCTAAAACTAAGGTTTGTTCAGGTTGCTGCAAGCTCAGCTGAATCTGTGAGCCTGAAAACTTTAAAATTTTTCCCAAAATAGGAGCTTTTATTTCTGAGGTTGTTCTAATTCGCTAGGCAGGCCTGAGCGAAGAACATAGGTTTAGCTTGCCCCTATTGAGTAAATAGGACACATTATAAGGGATAATTAAAAAGGTTGATGGCTGGGAATGAGTAGAGGAAGAATGGAAATTTAGACCTAGTTCTCCCCTGAGAAATCTTGTTAAACATATTAGGTAGTCAAAACAGTAATCTTTATCATATCTGCTGTACTAACCCCTATGTGCATAATGACCAGGCAGTGTTAAAATGCATTTTTAATTTAGCTCTCCTTTCAACTGTTCTCATAAAGCACCTGGGAAAACATTTTACCTATTAGAGGGAAAAAAAGAAATGCAATAACATGTTAAATATATTATTATTCAGACATGCTAAACAAATATTTAGTTTTTAAGCAGATTTCTATATTGTATTACATTTTTGAAAATAGATTTGGTACCATTCTAAAGTTTAGCTGTCAAAAACACTCACCATTATGAAGAATAGTTGATAGAGTCTGCTTTTACTAAAAGATTTAACTTATTCAGGTTTAAGATTCTGTTTATTTTTAATGGCAAGCAGGTCATATCTTTATAATAATTTCTGTTAATTTTAAAATTCATTTTATTCATGTGATGTTTATAGTACCAGAGTGATTATTTCCTATCAATGAAATCTTACCTTTCAGTGGTTGAAAAGCTGGAAGTTATTTGCAAGTACTTATTTATCAAAACCCACATAACCATGCTTCAGATGATCTCTACTCTTTCTTCTTTGTCTCTTACATTCAAATTATCTGACACCTACCAAAAATAGTTCATAATTATTATGTTTTAATAGTCCAAAGGATATGGTTAACCTCAGGCAGCTGCTTTTGCAGAAGTACTAAATAAAGCAAATGTTTTGTGCCCCAGGAATTCCCTTATTAATATCTCCAAGAAGAAGAACCTCTTGGAAATCTGGATGGAATAGTTTGGTGTATAATATTGGCTAAAGGGTTCTCTCTTTCTTTCCCTCTCCCTACCCCACCTCCAGTGTCTAATTGGAATACACAGCATGTTTTAATAGGCAGTGAATCAATACTGTTTCTGGGGAAAACCATTCTTGAAGGACCAGGGTTCCCTGAGCGCACCTTACCTATGACCCACATATGGTCAACTCTTGGGATTTCCATGACCCCACTGTCTGGACCCAGTATACAGACCTCATCCCTACAACTGTCTCACCTCTCCTCACACTCTTATTTGCCCAAAATGTCAGAGACCAATCTGGAAATTAGAAATAAGTTACTAATACCCAAATTTTCAGCAAAATGTATTTTTAATAGGCTCTCAGACTTTAAAAAAAGTCCATATCCATAAATATTTTAACCTTTTAATATAATTCCTACATTCCTATGCCCATGTATTCCATTAGCATAACAATGGCACTTCTGATAATATGTGCCTCTACTCCCTGAAGAAGTATTATCACGATAGTGTCAATATTAATCGACAGTTTTTCTTTAAAATTTCTGCTTATCTGCCTCTGGAATTCTGTAGTATACAGGCAAGTTTTCTTTAAAGACCTGTGTTAAATTTGCCTAATTGATATACAGATATGCTTTAATATTTTGACACAGCTACCTTGTCATTTCATCTGTGCTTTGGTTCACAGTGGGCTCAAGGGACTCCTTTGTGTATTCAAATGATTTGACCTGGATGTGAGCTACCAGTTAAATGTTTATATTCCCATGCAGGTATAGAATTCCACATTGTGTTTGGCGGATTCCTCTTTTGATTGTTCACAAAGTAAATAAATGATGTTGCTGTCCTAACATTTGTAGAAGGATACTGGAAAATTCCAGTCAGGTGCTCTTAATTGGCATATTTGTGATGGATGTCTACAGGCTATTGTTCTACCAATTATTGCTTCAATTACTTTCCAAGGTCCGCAGTGCCTGCTTTCCTTCTGTCACTGGAATTCTCAAAACCAAGCCACTCTCTTCACCTGTGTTTTATGCCGCATGGTTGAAATGCATTTTTCTGTTAGTAAGTAGAAAACAACCATGAGATATGTAGACTGTAGTGCAAATGATGGAACTGTTGAAAGTTCCTTAGAAAGCCAGTGCTGTGCTCTTGGAGATTGTACCCAAAAACAGAGATTCTTCTCCACTAGCACTGTTATGATCTCAGTGTAGAAATGAGCCAAAGCTGTCTTCCAACCAGATAGAAGCATATGTATGTGTCTGATTTTTCCCTCAGTTTATCAAAAATTCAATGAAAATTGACAAAATGAACAAATTCCAGATTTGAACAGTCACTGAAATGCTGTCATAGTGCTTCATTTGTAAATATTTTGTATGAAATGTATTGGAATAGTATGGAAATCAGCAGGAGATGTGGGTCCCTGCCTTATCTTCACATGCTATGGATACATCTCTGGGAGCTTGCAGCACCCTTCTCAAAACTCAGCTGTCATATGGAGCTCATTTGCTACTTGAACCATAGACAGATATTTAACATAAGTGATATAATGACCTTCAGTATTTTTCTATTGAATAAGTTTAGCAATTTTTGCCATTAAACAGATAATTAGTTATGCAAAGTATTTAGCTTTTATAATCATTTTAGTTATGACTAAAAGGGGGGAATTGAGCTGCATCACTGATAACGAACTTTGTGAGAAATTTTTTGTTTATCTGACTTTCATTCCTTCAGTATTCTTGCTATAAATTTCTTTGGGAGATAATGATGAAGATTTATTTGAAAATGTCTAAAATGTATGTATATTTTATAAATATATATTATATATATTGTAGGAATATATATAATATATATAGACTATATATATATATATATATATATATATATATATATATATATATATATATATATATATATATATATGTGTTTTTTTTTGTTTTTTTGGCTGCGGTGGGTCTTCATTGCTGCGCCCGGGCTTTCTCTAGTTGTGGTGAGCGGGGGCTAGTATATATATATATATATATATATATATATATATATATATATATATATAAAAAAAACCATAGGTGCATTTTACTGTTTTGTATGTTCATTTTTGGAGGTATTGTACACAGCAGGTAATGACGAGTATGATGAGTGTTGTGCTGTTTGCTTTTGCAGTAAAATATATAGTTCTAAATGTTTAAATTACTGTATATACTATATTCATTATAGGCTAGCATGCTTGTTTTAAAGACTGTCATTCTAGTTTATTAAAATCTGAATGTAAGAAAACCTGACTATTCAAATGTGAATTGAAAAGTATTCCATTCTCAGTACTGAACTATTTCCATTGAACATTCAGGATTTTTGACAAAACAGATATCATCAAGAAGGCAATAGCTAGAGAAAGAGAGGTGCCTTTAAAAAAAAAAAAAAACAAATGCAGCCTTACAGTGAGGATGAGGATTGAGTTTCTTTGTAGGGGGAAGGGGTGTGAGAGAGAGAGAGAGGGGGAGACAGAGAGAGAGAGTGAGTGTGTGTGAGTGTTTGCCAATCTGTGACGGTCCTGATTTGTGACCATCAGTGTCTTTTTAATGTATCTGTTCAACTTCTAGGACTTCAGGGGACATTTCATGCGCTTTGTGCTCTTCTGAGCACCATAAGTACTTTCCAAGAATTTTGAATGTGAATTCCTAGAAATTTCAGTAGAGAAGAAAATGGCTCTTCTTTCATTGTAAGTCAAGTTCAGGTAGTAGGAGAAATTATTGATTCACCAAAATTATGGGATCTCATTAACGTTGGCTAAGTAAATGTAATTTTTAAAGGCTCACTTTTTTAGCACTTCCTATATTTCCCCTTTACACAAGAGCATGTCATGATTCTTATGTGATGAAGATTCAACTAGTAAAAATCATTTTTAATGATTTTTAAACACCTGAACTAGTTAAAATTCCACCTAAGAATAGTATTTAAATGGCATCTTTCATATCTACCTCTTTGTCATTGCTGCCATTTTGACTCAAGCAAATCTTTATGACATCTAAAATAATGGTTGGATGCAATTTAAAAATCTGTGTTGGTGCTTTTCTCAGGCTTTGTCATTTAAGTTATATTGAACAAAGATGTCACAAATCAGATTGAAAGGCTTAGAATTAATTTTGATTTTCTTTTGAAAGAACTGCTTAAAATTTATCATCAATGTTGATAGTGAGTTGGAGATAGTCTCTGGTTAGTATATGTCTGTGTGATGCTTTCAGCCAAGAGCCAAATTGTTATTGATTTACATGGGAAAAAAGCTCTTAAGTATAATTTTCTTCAGCTTACTTTATTCTTTGAAAGCTATTTCAAGGCTATTAAGTACCTAATCATGAATTTTATTTACTCAGAAGTTGCCTCTGTTACTGTGTTGTTTAGTTATTTATGTAATTGCATTATTTTGTTTAACACTGGGATTCAGGTTGTACAAAAGTAGTACCTGACAGAAATTGTATGTATATTTTTCTGAAACGTATCAATTCCTTCAGTTCATTTTAGAAGGTCCAGAAAACTAACATATCTGTGTTTAAAAAACAAAGGACAGATCAGGTCCTTGGTAGATGATTTGAATCATTCTACTTTTGCCACTGAAAGTTTTTTAATTGGCTATATATCCATCATCCAGCTGGATCTCAGTGTCATTGTAAGGGATGCCGGGTTCACAGAGTATTAAACAGATTGCATCTTTTTTTTTAATCCAAAAAAAAAAAATAGCGAATATAAAGCCAAACAGAGATCTCTCGATCCCACTTATTTATTCTAGGAGTATTCCTGAAGTGGTGCTTAAGGGTCAGAATTTTCTGGGTCTTTGCTAGCCAAGCTTTAGATTTGATTTAACTGGGACCACATGCCCGTCATCCCTTGGATGCAAATTAGAAAGTTCATTTTAATTTATATTAACTGTAATGTCTGCCTGGGTTTTTAACAGGCTGTGAACCAGTGAGTGCCTTGTTAATGTAGAATGATTTTTCCCTGGTTTCGTGTTAGCTCCTCTCTGAAAATGTCTTAGAGAATGGTATTTTAGTTGACTTGTAGAGAGCTGCTAAATTTGGTGTTATCAGCAATCAGAAAGCCTTCAGTCTACCACATACCACCCTCCGTACTTTCTTTTCATTGTTTGGCTGAAGTTTGCCTCTTGTGAGAAACAAATACAACCCCCTTCTCCACACAGCTTTTTTCCAATCCAGATTAAGAGGTATCCCCTATACCTATCCCAACTATATGATCTAATACCTGTTTTTAGGAGGAACCACTTCTGGTTTTGTAATCCAGAAGGATTACAAATCCTGTAATCTACTGGTTATTTTATGTCTTCTCCACTTCAGTTTACTAGAGCTGACCTCAGGGCATCATCAGTTCAGATTCATCAATAACTCCTTTTCTCCACACCCCTTCACCCCTCCAACTGGTGATCCCTGGGCCAGATTGTTTGATCTTCAGGTATTTTAAAATTTAGGTGTAATACCAATTAATGTAAATTAATCCAAATGCTAATTTTTGTGGTGCAAGAAGTTTCTTTTGTAAATTCAGGGTATGGATAAGCTAATTAAGATATCCTTTTTTGGTGGCTCTAAGTGTATTATTTGTTTTTAAATAAAGTGTACAAATATAGATAATGTGCTATAGGTGTCTCATGAATTGAAATATTTGTCAGATTTGGAATCTAGTGGGTTTGCAGTTAAAATACTTTAATACAACCTGATTTTGTTTTGGGGGTTAGGTAGTAAAGGGGTGTAGAGAAATAAAAGTGTATTAGACAAAGTAGATGTGAATCCAAAGTAATGAACCAATCTTAATTATTGATTGTAAGGAAGGTGGAGAAATTTATCATTATAGAGAGTTTGGGGCTTTGTAAAACCAGTAAAATTAAAATACCCCACACGATTGGATCATGATACTTTCAGGGACATATGTATATTTTTTCTCAAGTGTTCAGTTACATAATTTAAAAAATTATACATACACATACACATGTAAATTT